TCCTTAAATAGGGATTGAGAGTAATGTATGGTGATGAACACTGAGAACTGTTGAATCACTACAATGTACACCCAAGATTCAAACAACGTTGTATGTTAATTCTACTTAAAAAAAAAAAAAATAGAGCTTCTTTCCATCTCCAGCTTGGACCTTGGTGGGGGTCAGTAGTCACTTGGTTTGGCTTCTTGTTCCCTCTCTCTGTTAGCTCCTCCCCACACTCCTCTTGGGAGCTGCGGCTTCTGAGCCTTCTAGTGCTGGGGGTTAGGGAGATAGAGGGGTGGCTGGGAAGAGGCAGGAAGTGGTTTCTGACTGGGACTCTCGTGATCTGGCTCTGGTGCTCTCTGGGCTCGGGTGGATGTTCACTGCTGAATCCTTTAGTCAGTTCCCCACTGGAGACATCCCACAGTCTCTCCCTTACGGGGCCCGTCAGCCATCTGGCATCCTACGGTCCCTCCACCTCTTTGGGGCTCATGCGGGTTCTCTCGGGTATGGCTGTAAGCTGGCTCCCTCCTGCGTCACCCACACCTGGTTCAGAGGAACGTGCAGCTCTACGTCCGCGCATCTCTGCACCTGTCGCTGGGGGAGGTGGAGGCATCACGACCTCTCAGTGGGCAGGGGCCTTTTCTCTGCTCTGCCGGCCTCGTGCCTGTGGATGCTGAGGCAGGTGTTACTAGCCAGTCTCCTCTCTCTCATACACACACAGGCACACGCACAAGCCTCCAGGGGACATAGGTCAAGCTGTCTGGGTGACGCCCCCTCCCCCCACAAGCAGCCCCTGTCCTCTGACTTAGAGTGAAGGGCGGTACCCTCCCTGCTCTTCCCTGAAGGCAGGGTGGACAAGTGACAGGCCTCACCGGCAGATTTCCCTAGAGATAGTCTCTCTCAGGGATGTCATCTCAGCGTTTGTGCCCCGGTGGTGGGCTCAACAGCCCTCTTCTCCGTCCTGGAGGGCGGTCTCCTATCGCTTTGGGGTGGAGGCAACGCTTGCTGTTTTCTTCTCAGAATGGTCTGGGGGCGGTTGCACTAAGCGAGAGGCGCCTTTTTTTTTTTTTTTTTTTTTTTTAAGATTTTATTTATTTATTTGACAGACAGAGATCACAAGTAGGCAGAGAGGCAGGCAGAGAGAGGAAGGGAAGCAGGCTCCCCGCTGAGCAGAGAGCCCGATGCGGGGCTCGAACCCAGGACCCTGGGATCATGACCTGAGCTGAAGGCAGAGGCTTAACCCACTGAGCCACCCAGGCGCCCTAAGAGGCATCACTTTAACATCCAGTTACACACACACACACACACACACACACACACACACACACAATCACACATGTACACATATGCACACAATTTGTAAAACTGTTAGGATGAGAGATTCCCACGCCCCAGACACTGTGATCACAGGTTTTATGGTAGTTTTTTCTGTTGTTGTCAATTTAAATGTATTTTTAAAAAATTTATTTATTTGACAGAGAGAGAGAGAGAGAGAGAGAGAGAGAGAATGCACACACAAGCAGGGGAAGCAGCAGAGGGAGTGGGAGAAGCAGGCCCCCTGCTGAGCAGGACCCTGGGCTCATGACCTGAGCCAAAATCAGACGCTTAACCGACTGAGCCACCCAGGCACCCCTTAAATGTATTTCTGAATCACAGTAATAATTTACAAAAACATTATTGTTGTAACTCATTTACATACCCCAGATAATGTGAAGTTCCCTCCTGGCCATTCCTCCCCAAAGGGAATGGTCCCCTGCATTCCCTTCTACACATTTGACCAGCGTTATCAGATTTATGTATCTTAATTTAACTTTTCTTTATTTTTATTTTTTAAAAGATCTGAGAGAGAGAGAATGAACATGAGGAAGGGGAGCGGCAGAGGGAGAGGGAGACTCGGCACTGAGCAAGGAGCCCGGTGAGGGACTTGATCTCAGGCCTCCAGGATCATGACCTGAGCCAAAGGCAGACACTGAACCAACTGAGCCACGCAGGCTTAGCCAACTGTGTATCTTAATTTTAAAACCAGTGCTAAGGGCAACGTACAGCAGAGCTGTCACTGTTTCAATGTTGTGAATTTTCTTTCGCAATTTTCTACTCATTTGTAAACACATAAATTACAAATGTAATGTTGTGTGCATATATGTTTTACTTATTACCTCGGTACTTACTGTTCCACAACTTGCTATTTTCTTTTAAGTTTTTATTTTAATTCCAGTTAGTTCACATACAGTGTCATGTGAGTTTCAGGTGTGCAATACAGTGATTCAAACTTCCATATATCTCCCGGGACTCATCATGAGAAGTGCCCTCCTTCATCCATCACCTATTTCCCCCATCCCTCCACCCCTCCCCTCTGGCGACCATCAGTTTGTTCTCTGTAGTTCAGAGTCTGTCCCTCCCTCCCTCCGTTCCTTCCTTCCTTCCTCCCTCCCTCTCTCCCTTTTCCCTTTGCATGTTTGTTTTGTTTCCTAAATTCCACATAGGAGTGAAATCATATGGTATTTGTCTTTCTCTGACTGACTTATTTCACTCACCATTAAATTCTCTAGCTCCATCCATGTTGTTGCAAATGCAAAGTTTCATTCTTTTTGACAGCTGAGTAATATCCCATATTTATCTATACCACCTCTACTTTCTCCATTCATCCATTGATGCACACTGGGCTGCTTCCGTACCTTGGCTGTTGCAAATAATGCTGCTATAAACACAGGGGTGCATGTATCCCTTCGAATTTACAACTTGCTTTTTTCACTTAATACGTCCTTTAAATTGTTAATACATATATCGATTTTATTAGTTCTTTTTGATGGCTAGAATGTTCCAAAAATATACGTACTTTGCTTTACTTAACTATTCAAACATTAATGACCACTAATTAGCTGTTAATTTTTCACTTTTACAAATATCGCTACAAGGACTGTCTTGGGACGTGCTTTTGGGTGGCTGTATGGATTATTCCCTGGTAGTGGTCTTGAAGCAGCGATACCAAGAGGAAAGCTGCCCTGATTCCCACAACAACAGCTTAGTTCCCTACACTTTTGCCTAAACTAGAGAGAAGTCTTTCAAATATTTGTGGAAGCGGACAGGTAAGAAATAATGTCTTGTACTTCGAAGGTTCATGTCTTTGATAGTAAGTCAAGGTGGGTTCTGCTGTTCTTCATCTGTGCTTACATATTGTACTGATAGTTTCATACTCTTCACTCACTTTCTTCTACTTTGTCTTTATTATTATTATTATTATCTTGAAGTTTAAAAAAGTACACCGCTCCCTTCTCTGGTATCATATTGTAATTACTTTCTACCCACTGTCCCCCACCAATGACCTCATACGGTATGTATCATTACAGATAAGTTTCACACTTTTTGTATTCTATAGGATTCTTACGCTTTGTCTAAGTATAGCTTTAACTTCATTTTTCTGGCTTCACACTCACTGTCATTCCTGAATCTGAGAAATCTTGTTTCATCTCTTCTGGAAAAGCCCTAACCATTATTTCTTAAAGCATTGCCTCTCCTCAATTCTGTTCATTTTCTTTTCCCAGAAATCTTACTGAACACATATCAGAACTTTTAACTCTATTTTCCAGGTCCCCTAACTCTGCTACAATATATCATTATCTGCCTGAGCTTTAATCTGTATAATATACTTATTCTGTTTAATATTCTGTATAACTTATTCTGTATAACTTATTCTGTATAAATTACTTTATTCTGTATAATTCTGTTCTATCTTCTATTTCACTCATTCAGTCATTAGCTCATTGTCTAATGGCTTCGTTTCTAATTTCAATACTTAAATTTGTCTTTAGTATTTCAAGTAGTGCCTTTCTTAAATATGTCTGTTCTTTTGGATATCTTCTTACATTTTGGTCTCTCCTTTATTTCTTCAATTATTTTAAACATGCTTATAAAAGGCAGTTATCAGTTTATCCAACTCTTGGAAGTTCTCAGCAATTTGATCGTGCTACATGTTGAGTCTGAGGACTTGCTTTGGATGGTTGCTTCTCTGAGTGTTTCTAATTTTGGATCTGGAAGTCATATTAAGCAGAGCTTCATCAGTAACTCTGGGTGATCTGTGTTAAGGAAATCGGCCTGGGCCCAGTTCTTTAGTCCAGTTTTTCAGCCAAAAAAGAGTTTTTCTCTCAGACAATGAAAACAGTGTGAATTGCAACCCCCCAACTCCCCGTGACATAGTTATGAATTTTTGGAATTTTAAGCAGAGGCTCTTTCTTTTCAAACCAGAGCTCAGGAGGATGTAAGCTATCACTGTCTCACTGTTGCAATGGACAGAGTCTCTTTAACTCAGTTTTGAACCCCTTTGAGGGTTCTGGCTCTATAATAGGATCTCCATGATAATCGCCTTCCTGGCAGAGGTCTAAGGCTTCACCCCTCGTCCCCAAGGACCTAGATCTCAAGACCCTGCATCACTGAAACTGGTATCTGCTCCCCACCCCAGTCCCAATATCACTGAGGAGTTAGCTCATACTGCAAACTTTTCATTACATCCATGGGGTTATCTCTTACTATCTTTGGAGCTATGTATTTGAAAAGATGTTTGCCATATTTTATCTGGTATATCTAGATGTTCAGAACAGGCAGTTTTTCAGGTAATGTAAGAAGTTGGAACCTTCCAGATGAAATTTCAAAGAAGACTGTCAAGTTTTAACACCCAGTCGATACATTTATCAGTGGAGAGACAAAGGAACACAGAACTGGAAAGAATATTACAATCCATTATGGCAATCCAGGCCAGACACTTCATTTCAGAGAAGCAGAGATTAAGACCCAGGGGTAACCGTGAAGTTCCCAAGGTCACATGATTGGCTAGCAATAGAGTCTGGGCAACAAATCAGGTCTCCTGAACCCCAATCAAATATTTTTCCCATCAAATATTTCCTCCTAATTCACAGAATTGGGGCAGTGTCATGTGTGATATAGGACACTTGTCGCCCTGTATTTGCTTTTGCATTCTTTTATTTCAGCAGGTGAATGCCAGTCCCTGGGAGAAGAGAACTAAAATGCCTAGTAGAACAGAAGCCAAGGGAGTGGAAGCTATTTCCAGCGATGGTAATTTAAGCACGGTTCACGCGCAAACCTCCAGGAAAGGTAAAATCATGCACTGGCTACAGATAAAACTGGCATCTGTGTCACCCTGACTTCCCTCTTGGTGATACAGAGCACGAGGCTACCCCCAACTGCCCAGGGCTCTACATAGCTATAAAGCCTGTTTTATGGAGAATTATTTCACTTCCTGTAAGAAACCTTGAAGGTATACAGGACAGGTAGGTGTCAAGACATTATAGAGGAATGAAAAACTTCAGAGCAGATGCTAAGTAGAAACTATGGAAACCAGTCTTGGGTTTTCTGACACTAAGTCTAGGAGCATCCAGTTAGATCTCTCTGTTCATATAGATTCAGCCCTGCCTCAGAGAGAACAGGCTTTTCCTTTCCACTATGTCATAAAAGTCACTTTTCCTCCTCCACGTTGTCTATGTCACAACTTGGTACTTTTCTATAACATGTCCGAAGAAAACCTGCTGAACACCTTATTTTGCCCTAAACGCTTAATGGTTCATAATTATGTGATTCATTAATTCTCCTACGGAAGTAGACTTTTCATAAGATAATGCCTTTGACCAGTAAAGCACTAACCAAGGTGGGATGCTTTACAAGCCTCAACCTTTCAGCCAGTGTGTCTGTTGGGAAGTGATCATGTCTCAAGGACAAGAGGATTCTCCTAGTCTTTCCCATCAAAGGAGAAATAAGGAGATGTGCATTCTAATACTCTGTCTACAGTTAACTAGGAATCATTTGATCTGGAATGCATACTACCCCATTGCCTCAGCTTCCTCATCTGGAAAACGGGAGAGCTTGATTCTTGTATCTCTAAGATCTCATCTACATCTAAGTAGTAAGAGCCTATCGGTCAAATTCTCCTATCCTAACTTGCACGTGCTCTCTCTTTCCATCTCTCTCTCTCTCAAAATCAGTAATATGAATAACTTATACATAAAAATTTTCCATGTTTGCAATCCTGATTTTGCCATTTATGAGCTATGTGACCTTCGAATTTGTGTGTCTCGGTTTCCTTACTCATAAATATACGATGATAATGGTAGCTGCCTCACAGCATCTCCATGAGAATTAAATTAGTTATAAAATGTAAACCACTTAGAACAATGCCTGGCACATAGTAAATACTATGTAAACTTTAGCTATGATTATCACCTCTCCCACAGTGTCCCCTTTATGGCAGTGGTGGGACTCATGTGTGGTCTTTCTGGATTCTTTTACAGTCTTCTAGAACATCCATCCCACCATGCTGCTTAGTCCGCTGCTGACACTCCAGAAGCTCCAGAAGCTATACCCAATCCTTTCGTAACCCATTTGACCTGTCGTTACAAGTGGCATCATGCGAATAATAATCCTTCTTTGGATAAACCTCGTCCCACTTGATAAGGCACAACCCCAACTACTCGTGGTCCCACCTGATTATTTTGTTAAGTCTCCAAGTACTTGTCATAGTGCTTATGCATAAACCCTGCGAGCTGCTTCATCCACAGGTGGCCAACATCTGTTTCCACTCAGCTCTCTTCCTCTCCGGCGCACACGTCCTGGGCACTCCTGGGTCCTCTGTCTCACACCTTCAGGGCACTGCTGGGGTTTTCTCTAGGTCTCTGTGTCCCCAAAGGCTACTGACATCTTTGCTGAGTATGACCGCACTTCAAAGAAACTCACAGAACCAAATCCAGCTATTCTGTGGGACACACAGAAATACCTCTCCCCCATTACAGGTCAGATACAGTCACAAGATAGAGTTGCTTATGCTCCTGTACCCCTAGAGACCCAGGGAAAAGCTGAACCTTGACGTTCTGCCAGAGGTCAGTGGTTTCTATCAGGCTCAGTTAAGGGTTCATGGGGCTGAGTGGGGACAGACACCACATTGCCTTTCCTATCCCTTTATCTCCCATAGGCCTGTGAGCTTCTGTCTGGGTTCACTCAGAAAAACAGAAGGTGCTCTGGATATTCCAAGAAAAAAGAGGCTTAATATAGGGGATTGGAAGATTCCACAAACTTTGGAGGGCTGGGGAAGCAGAAGTCAGATTAGCCCCTTCCAGAAAATCCAGGAGTCAGGATGGATGGGTCACTCTGATGACCACAGGTAGCCCCGAGTGGGCAATTTTCAAGGTGACTCCCAGAAGTCGCAGGCAGAAGTCCCATCTCCACCATCACTGGTCTTCGTCCATGGGCCTCTAGGTGCCTCACAGCCATCATGGCTTCTCACTGCGTTCCCCCTTCCAAACCTTGTCAGAAGACCCTCATTGTTGGAAGCCTGCCTGTCTGCATGAGAGATTGACAACTGTCACTTCCAGGTATTTGTGTGTCCATGGAGAACTCGGAAAGGCAAGGATGGCAGCGAGAATTCACAAACAGCATATGGCACAGCTTCCTTCCTCCCATCCAAAGCCCACGCGGAGGTGAACATACTGCAGCCCACAGAAAACATGTCACCCAGGGGCTAGGCTACAATAACATCCCTCTCTGAAAGTTCCAGAATTAAATAAGCAAGCATACCACTTGGAGAAAGTATCTCCATCCAGGTTAAAATTAGGGAATTGTTCCTATAACACACTATGAATCCTAAGGCTCATTGATGGGTTTAATACATTTGGAATGAGATTGAGAGAAGATGACAAGTGCTTACGAACCTCTCCTCCTTGGAGCATGGGACAGTCATTTAGGAAGAAAGGGAGCACACTCGTTAACTGTTAAGCCTCGGCTCACACTCCCTAGCTCTGAATGGCAGTGTCTTGAGGCCAGCAGCCCACCAGCAAGGCGAGGCCACCACAAGCCAGGGGAGTCTGTTGTGCTGAGATGTGGTGGGTGAAGCTCACATGGGCCCACATCCTGCCATCTCCCCTCCACAGCTTACCCAAGATCTGCAGCTTAGCAGACCAAGGCAGTATACACGTGATGGCCAAAATTAACTTCGAATTTTGGGGGACTTGTCCTCAAAATCGACCAGGTCATTGCAAAATTCAAATGAACTGGCGAAAGAATTCCAAGATGTCCTCCTCCATCCCACCAGCGGCTACCTGTGCAATCACGCACACACTATTACCACCGCACGGCAGCAGGCCTCAAATCAGCAAAGGTGGCCCAGTACAACATGTGACAAGGGTATCAACATATGGGAACTAAATCATAAAGGACTGACCTTTATGGTCCAAGACCGTGGGGAGGAGGTACATGTAAAGACGTTAGCACAAAGAAAAGAAAAGGAAAAGGAATGTATTAGATCAAAGAGTAATTGTGACTTATTAAATGCATGTTTGATGTCAGACACTGGTCTAAGCACTTTATGTGGATTAATTTACTGAATCTTCCCAACATTCCTGCAGGGAAGCTACTCCTTCTGGCGTCCTCTCCATTGAAGGAGCCAGAGTTCAAGCAGAAAGGAAGAACTCATTTAAGTCACTGAGGCACAAAGAGGGGTCACCTGGACTCACACCAGAGCAGTCTGACTGCTAACCAGCATATTACATGGCTGCACTTATTTTATCTGGGAAAACCAAAGAATATTTTCATTTCCAACTTAACATCTCAAGAATAACAAGAAGCTCACAGTGCAGGAAGTAAATCAACAGGAAAGTGTACAAGAAGAGCCCAAAGTAGACAAGAAAGGAAACTAAAGAGGAAAATATATGACTTCAGAATTAAAGTGGAATAAGTAGTAGCAAGGAAAGACATGACCACTGCAGAAAATCGCATCAGTGACATAGAGCCAAGGCTTAGAAAAGTCAGGAAGGACGCAGAGGGGGAGCAAGACAAGTGGCTCAAAAGATGACGGGTATGAAGAAGGGAAGAAAAGAGAGAGTGCATGAGAATAAATGAAAGCAAAAAAGAAAAAAAAAAGAATAAATGAAAGCAACTTAATCAAGCATCCAGTTCACGGAGTCTATACCTTTGAGGAAAGGATGTGGAAAAACAAAAGAGACAACCTCAATGTAGGAAAAAAGTGAACTCAAATCATGAAAGAAACTGCCGTGAAAATATATACAAGAGCAGGGTCTCTGACAGCAGATACCTTTCATAGCAATAAAATAATTCCTGACTCAGACGGATCAGGCAGAGAGATTGAGCACACATAATCGTGGGAAAGGAGAGGACAGAAGCATTTCGAATGTGTAAGGCATTAAACACGGGGAAGCAGATAATGTCCATGACTTCCATGGAAATAACGTTTATAAATTTGAATTAAGAAAAATTGCGGACGTTGAAAAAACATGCAAGAAGTGAAGAAAGTTGTCAAAAAGTCCTCTTAAAACAAACAAATGATGTCTTGGTGGTTTCACTAGAAAAATTCAGTGAGATTCTATGGAACAGAAAATGTCTCTGTATCCAGTGCATTTCTGTAGATTCCCACCTTAAGGCGGTGGGGTACAGTTCCTCACTCCCTATGTGTGGACTGTGCCCGTGACTTCTTCCAGAGCACAGCATGGAAAGGGAACAAACAAGAGTAACTTATGGAGAAACTGGACAAACACTGCCTCAAACTGGTTGTTGAGGGACATTCTACAAAATATATGACTGGTACTCTTCAAAACTATAAAGTCATCAGAAACAGAGAAAGTCTGAGAAACTGTCTTAGCCATAAGTATCCCAAGGAGACATGACAATTAAATGGACAGTGCTATCCTGAATGGGATTCTGGAACAGAAAAAAGACATCAGGTAAAAACTAAGAAGTCTGAATACAGTATGGACTTTAGCTAATAATCATACATTCTAGTAGGTTTGTCAATTGTGACACACATACCATAGCAACAGGGGAAAACAGGTGTAAGGTGGACAGGAACTCAATAATTCAGGGGCGTCTGGGTGGCTCAGTCATTTAGCCTCTGATTCTTGGTTTCAGTTCAGGTCATGATCTCAGGATCATCATATCGAGCCCAGCCGCTGGCTCTGCTCTCAGCAGGGAGTCTGCTTGAGATTTTCTGTTTCCCTCCTTCCCTTCCTGTTCTCTTTCTCTGAAGTAAATAGATCTTTAAAAAAAAAAAAAAGAAGAAGAAGAAGAACAGAAAAAAGAAAATGACTATATACCTGAAATACTTCAGGTCATAGATTGAGATGAAAAGCCTAAAATATTTCTTTCTTTACAAAGCTAGCATATCAAAAATTATGCATACACACATATTCACAATAATCTTCACCTGAATTCAATTATATATGCCAAAGTAAAGTTCCAGCCAAAACATTAGCAAAATAAAGCATGTGTTTTCATTACAACAGCCTATTAAGAGATCATTTCAAGAATGTAAGCACAGTCAGATATTATTAATAATAATTATAAGGAACTTACATAAATGTACTCAATTAGTCTCTATTTTTTATTTTAAATATTTTATTTATTTATTTATTTGAGAGAGAGAGAGAGAGAGAGAGAGAGAGCAAGAGCAGAGAGGGAGAAGCATGCTCTTTGCTGAGCAGGGAGCCCAACGTGGGGCTCAGTCTCAGGACCCTGGGATCATGACCTGAGCGGAAGGCAGGCGCTTAACCCACTGAGCCCCCAGGCACCCTGAGGTAGGCTCTATTATTAACCCCATTTTACAGGTGGAATACTGAGGCTGCAGATAGCTCAGTAATTTGCCCAAGAATATACAGGTCCAAATAGAGCAGATCCAGATGTCTGACTCTATGATTCAAATACAGTTTATAAAACTCCTGCATTCACATCAAAATAATAAGAAACAGCAATAGGACAGCTTCATACAACAAAAGTGCAAGTCCCACTAACAAGTACAAGTCCCATGGCACACTTAATGGTGTGATGTGAGAAACATGCTCAGTAAATTCAGATAGGCTCTCACCACTCCTATTTGGCACTGTTTACAAACTGCCAGTGGGATAAATTACCCAAGGGGATGAAATGTTACAAATGACAAAAATAAGCATGTATTGTTTTCCACTATTAGTACTTGCCACTTGTGTGTGTTTGGCTTTCTGCTGTAAACCCAGAGGAAAGAAACATGAAAGTAATAAGGGGAGGACTCAGTTATAGAAACGATAAAAAGTCTCTGAAGAAACTTGTGTGGGACTTAACTGAAGAGAACTAACTCTAAAATTCCAGCTCCAGCCAGAGGAAGAGACCGGAATCCACAGGGAGCCACCCTGCTCTTGGCCAGGAGAAGACAACACTGTCCATGGGGCAGTCCCTTGCAATGTCATCTGCCCTATCTATACAATGTTGATCAAAACTCTAATGTAAATTCGTGTGGTTGGGGGAGGGGCAGCCTCAACTGAATGCCCCCCAAGTTAAACCAAAGGTGGGGGTCCTGGAACTTGACAAGCGTGTCACCCCTCAAGACGAGACAGCATTGGCCATTTCAACTGCCTTTGCTCCCTCATAGGAGCCAGGAAATGGGGCACCCACATGCCTTGAGGGCGGGATCAAACATTATCCCTCTGACAGCTCATCAATCCTTCTAGCTGTTGGCAAACTAATGTACCTGGACTCAAATCCAGGATGGCCCCAGACCCCTACTGGACCACTGGCAAATTTCGTGCGAGCCCAGATTACGGTAGCAAGATGAAGGTGAAATGCTTCTGGAGTCTAACCTAGCCTACCTCTCAAGTCTCATCTCCTCCCAGCACCTAACCTGTTAATGTGCCTTGTTCCCTGGTAACAGGGTGGGGACCTTGGGAGTCATGTCCAACAACTCCTGTCTCTTCCTCTCCATCTCCCCTCGACCACTACCTCCAGCCAGTTCTCTGTCCCATTTCACTTCTTTCCAGTCCCACGCTCATGAGCTCATCCCAGAGCCCGGGCTCAAAACCCTTCCTAACACTCGCTCTGGCCAGTTCCACACCTCCTTCAAGTCTCTGCTCAAGTAATGATTCTAAGCAAGTGACTGACCCACTCACCTGCCAGGGGCAGGGGTGTTGGGTGTCCACCAGCCACCTGCAGAGCCACTCCCGCTCTCTATTTCTCCTTTCACAGACTGCAGTCTTCTCCCTCTTCCAGACTTAGGGAAGGTGGGAGAAAATTACCCCGATCTTAAGACTTTCTGTGCCCCTTCATCGCAGGCTTTTGTTCGGTCCAACATGGGCTGGCCCTCCTTGTGCATCTCTGCAATTTTTCGATTAACTCTCAAAGGATGAGCCTGAGCATTGCCATGCCAGCCATGGTGAGCAGCATGGCCCAGCTCAGGCCAATCAATGCTTCCACAGGAAGGCCTCCTGTCGACTCCCAGGACGGCTGGAATGGAACTCTGCAGCAATCTGAGGCCATGGTAAGTTTATCGAGACTCCAGACCCTTTCTCAGACTCAGATGGTTTGACCTAAAGGGTTATTTATGAAACATCTACTATGTTCGATGAACTAGACTACACGAGAACGTAACAGGCAGCTAAGGAGACGATATCTCTTCTCTATCTAGTGTCTAGCAGTGGAACCGGACCAAGCGGACTAAGTGAAAATGCAGGAAACCACTTTCGTCTTTAGTGGACATACGTTCTTCCTTGACAGGGATGAACGTTGCAAAATAAGTTTCACAGATGTTTATCTTGGCTTTCTTTCTTCACATATTTTTCAAGTTACCCCATTGCCTATAATGCTTTCTTCTTTATAGCTTTTCTTTATTTACAGGATCTCTCACACTTTAATGGGTTAGTTTATTGTGTCACCAGGGAAACTGTGTAAAAGGAAAGAGTACATAGTGCATAAGTTTGGGTTTTTGGTTTTGTGTGTTGCGTTTTTTTTTTTTTTTTTTTTGAACGAAATTGGTAGACTGGAGGAACTGGAGAGAAGTATGAGAGAGAACTGCCCGTTTTTGTTTTTGTTTTGTTTTGTTTTTTGCCTCTCAAGTTTCACATGATCAAAACTGTCAACTCTCTGGCCAAGATAAACAGTGAGATTCTCTTGTCCCCTAGGCTCCCGTGTATGACTGGGGTCCTGAAATTCAGGGGATCATTCTCAGCTCGTGCAACTATGCCTCATTCTTGGTTCCCATCCCTACTGGCTACATCGCTGGAATATTTGGAGCCACGTACTTGGTGGGTGTTAACCTGCTTCTTTCCTCAGTCTTGGCCCTCTCGATTCCATTGGCTGCTGACGCAGGAGTGCTCTCGATCACTGTCCTGCGGATTGCTCAAGGCATAGCCCAGGTACCAAGATGCTTTCTAATTATAAGTGGAATATTAGTTCCAAAATGACCTCAATAGCCAAGAATGGAACTTTTTTTCCCCCCAGGTTATGGTATTAACAAGCCAGTTTTCACTTTGGGTCAAATGGGCTCCCCCACTAGAGAAGAATCAACTCATCAACATTGCTATATCAGGTAATCGAGACCCTAAACTGTCAGTTTGTACGCACTGTCCAAGAGTACTCTACAATGGCCTATCAACACAAGCAAGACCTTAGACTCCAACTACCCTGTCTCCCTGCTCCTGCTTGGGTGAGAGAGGACCCTAACTCTCTCACCCAAAACATCCTCATATCTTCTGTTTAGGGCATTTGATGGGATCCTTCATTACTTTGCTCATCGGTGGTTTCCTCTACCAGACTAAAGGGTGGCCTTCTATCTTCTATATCTTTTGTAAGTTTGGGCTTCTCAGATCTCAGGATTTTTTTTTTCTTTTTGTTTTTTGTGTGTTTCATTTTATTTATTTATTCATTTAAGAGATAGTGAAAGAGAGAGCATGAGCAGGGGCAGAGGGAGAAGCAGGGAGGCGATGTGGAACTTGATCCTGGAGTCCCAGCATCTGGATCTGAGCCAAAGGCAGACACCCAAACGACTGAGCCACTCAGGCGTGCTTCAGGATTTTGTTTTGTGATAGAGAATGCTGGGCATGATTTTCGTGATGCAAGTCATCTATGGTTAACCAAATCCTAATAGATATGAATATTTATATAACTATATAACTACAGGTGATAATGTTCACAGCTAATCATGTTGTGAATCATGCAAAACGACATTTAAATCCCAGGAGCCTGGATGCATAGTCAGAATAACCTAATGACTTCAAAGGCATCATAATGTTCTGTCCTGCTTCCAAACCAAACACACAATGAACCCCAGAGGGATTTCTTTCATAAGATGCTGAAAATGGTATCTTGATGGGATGGTATTTTTAGTTATGCTTATTTATTTAATTCATTTTTAATAAAATTCTATTATTACAACCAGAAAATTCTAAGACTGTACCTGATCATAAAATGCTGATTGACACAGAGAATTAACCAGTGGAACCTGCAAGACAGGGCAGATCGTGGGAGGCTCCAGAGTGGATGTCATACATTAAGAGATGCTGCAGAAGGTCCCAAAGATGCACGGGGTGTTCCAGAAGCCATATTCTACTACTTCACTGTTTTGCCTTTACCCAGCCCTGATTGGGATCTCCCCAGCTGCTTGCTGCTAATGTTTGTGTCTGACTTTTAAAATATTCTCTGAAGTCCCATCTGCAACCTGTGTGATTCCAGTAAGACCAGTGAGCGCCAGCAGTGTTTCCGTTAGAGGACAATGCTCTTATATCAAGGGTTCCTATAACATCAGGTCAATATATTCACTAGAAACAAAAATTGTGTGAAGATGGATTACTTTCGCATGGCAATCTGCAAAGGCTCTGTCATGGAAACTTCAAAGGGCAGGTTACAAAAATTATCCAAGCAATGAGAGAGGTTTACTCTGCTCCTAGTTTTCAGAAAGGGAAGCTACAAATGTAGATCTACAAGGAAGGAATTCAGTGAAATATTTGTTGACATCCTCTACTTGATCTCCAGTGGTGGAAACTTTCCCCATCTATTCCTCTGTACTTGATTTTAAGTTCCTCCATGGCAAGATTGTATCTTTGTATTCTTATACTCTCAAAATCTCACAGAAAGCTGGCATATGGTAATTCTATACTCCATGATAGCTCTTTACTCTCTGTGAAGGCATGGGTAAAGGCCAAGGTGGCAACTAAAAAGAGCGATTAAGATTAGGGCATGCATGGTGATGAGCACTGGGTGTTGTATGCAACTGATGAATCATTGAACACTACATCAAAAACTAACGATGTACTCTATCTTGGCTAATTGAACATAACAAAAAAAAAAGTATTGGGAAAGTTGGTGATGTTTATATAAAATCTGTAGATTAAACAATATTTTCATTAAAAAATAAATTAAAATCTACACTCTGCTTCAAAAAAAGACATTTTCTTAAGATTCTAAAAAAGAAAATTTTAAGATGAATTTTATTTCCACTCAATACTGGGAATGTTGGGTTGTCCATCACTGTCATAATGTATATACAGGTGGTGGGGAAGCACCCTCCACCAATGATGGGGGCCAGAGCATAGATACAGGTAGGAATGGAATATTGGGGTCAGTGATTCTGTCAACCACAGAAATCAGCTCAGTGCAGAGTTAAACTGAAAGAACTGCCATCAAGGTCTAATGGGATCCTCTTCCTAGGTGGAATTGGCTGTGCCTATTCTTTTCTCTGGTTTCTTCTTGTTTATGATGACCCTATACATCATCGGTTTATCAGTGCTGGAGAGAAGGAATATATTGTGTGTTCACTGGCTCAACAGGTGCGTTTGATGAACTACTCTGCCATTTCCCTGTGTTGGTCCAGGTATCTTGGGCTGAAGACAGCATTAGAGCAAATCTCTTGTCTTCTGATGGAGCAGTACTGATATCTGCTTTCTTCCAGGGCTGTTCGCCAGGCTAGTCCCATCCCATTAAGGCTATGATCAAATCCCTACCACTTTGGGGCATTTTAGTCTTTCATTTCACTGAATTCTGGATTTTTAATATTTTGGTCACATACCTGCCAACATACATCAACTCTGTACTTCAAGCAAACTTCAGAGATGTGAGTATAGAGAAAGTCTATTCCATTCTTCTGTTTAAATGCTTTATTATATAATCCTCTGTCTCACTTATGGCCACAAAATCAGGGGATTAGGCCAAGGACCTTCGTGTAGGAAATGCAACCTGGTTGTGTGAATTCTTAATCATCTTACTGTGACCTACCGATTATTGGGGAAGACTGGGACGGTTCTAGGTAAGCTTGACATTCTCAGAATGTCATACTTTTTAAGTGACCAATGTAAAACTTTGATGTTCAATCCAACCAACATTTGCAAACAAGACAGTCTGCACAAGACAGTGTTAACAAGACAAATTCCGCCTTCAAGAAGGCTTGACAGGGAGCATAAACATCATAGGCTGAAAATAAGAGTTTATGACTAGGATATAAAGTCCCAAATAGGACTCCTACCCAAAACTTGCAGATAATGTTCTTCTAAAAAATATGTTATTCAAGTATGACGCATACAGAGAAAAGTGTATGTGTACAGCTGAATTTTCACAAAATGAACAGGTGCCCTGACAGGTGGACAGGAGCCTTTAAATTCCTGCAAGATGAAGGTCTTAGAAGTGGCAAAGAGTATATCAGATTTCAGAGCCTATTAACAGCAGTTCACAAGGTTATTGAGTGAATGATATTGTGTTTTGGACTCAAAAAGCAGTGCTCTCATGTTAACTGGGCTCCTCTTGTGAAAATGTGCTAACCAGCCAACAGGAAGCTGACTTTTTGGAGCAGAGGTCAGAGTCTGGGGTGCACATGTGCAAACAGGCTGGAGGTACTGAGGTCAGAAAGCCCAAGGGTTGAGTGGCCATGGGTCTTCACAAAGAGGAGGCCAGAAGCAGGCTGCAAAGCCATAATCTCAGGTGAGACCATCAGGGGACAGGAGGTCCAGACAGACATCTCTGAGGCCAGCTGTTGGGGATGGTTTGTCTGTGGTGTGAGGCCAAGTGGGTTCCCCATCTCAGAGGCCAAGGCTGAGGACAGGGAGGACGGGGGGAAAGACTGGAGAGACCAGTGGAGACCAGGCTTATCAGCTTGGGAAGTCAAGAGGCCCCAACTCCCATGGGTCTCAAGATGGTTTCTCCCTAAGTCATAAAACCTTGGTGGCTTCAGTCTACTCATCCATAATGTGAACAGCTGGGACATGGTGACAGTTAAAGCCTTTCCGTTTGGGGAGTTTTACACAACATTTCTTTCTTTATATTTTCTTTAACAGCACTGTAATAGAGAGGCTGAGCTGATCAAACCAGGGTTCAACATTTTAAAAACTCTATCCAAAGAGAGGAGTGAAAAATCTTCCTGCCGTTCCCATCCCCGGTCTGCCCTGTCCCCCCAGCCTGTTCCCAGCCACAGATAACTATTTTTTATTAATTTCTTAAATATTCTTCCACTGCTTCTTTATCTTCTTTATAAAGTTGCGGGCATACACAAACATATCTTATTTTGTCATTTTTTTTTTTACACAAAACATTATGTGTTGTGTACATTGCTATTGTTTGTATATTACACCACAGTGATCTTTTCAGATCAGTACACAGGACTCTTACTGAGAGACATTTGGGTTGTTTCCAATCTCTGGGCAAAAAACCTTGCTGGTCAGCCACCCATCTATGCAACTCTTTCTGCATGTCTGTTCAGGGTAAACGCAGTACAGACTTTTGTATCTGTTGCTAAATTGCTCTCCACAGGGCACTGATATTTGTAAGTACCCAGTTTCCCACAGCATCCCAGGGGATCAGGTAAAAAAATTGCTGGATTTTTGCTAGTTTGATCCATGAAAAAGTAGTTCTTCTCGCTATGAGGTCGGAGCCCCTTATTTTCCTTTTTCTGTAAATTGTTCCTATCTTTTGCCTATTTTTCTATTGGGCTTTGCTCTTTTTTAAAATCTCTTTCCAGGTGACTTTACCTAAGATGAGAGCATTAAACATTTTTTTTCCCAATTGAACTATATGCATATTTTCTCTTAGGCACCAAAATTGTATTCTAATAATTCCAGTAACCTGAAATTTGTATTCGAGGAGATAGGTCTATATAGAGAAGCTCTAAACATAGACAAGCCACACAACAGTCAGTGTGTATCATGGCACACGAAGTGAGGCAGGCGCCTTCTCTTTGGTCCTCAGAGTGGAATCCTGTCAGCCCTGCTGTTAGGTGCTGCCTGTATCGGCACTATCCTTGGAGGTCTACTGGTGGATTTTCTTCACTCCAGAAAAATCTTCAGACTCATTACCATCAGGAAACTCTCCACTGCCATTGGTAAGGACCCAGGTGGATTGTGGGATGGACGCGGGAAGCTCAGGGCAGTTTTTATTTCCTCTGTGTTTGTCCTCCTGCTGCAGGGGTTCTTGTCCCATCTGTGGTCTTCGTGTCCCTGCACTGGGTCAGATTCAGCTTCAGTGCCAGTATGGGCTTGTTGGCACTGTCTTCTGTCACCAGCACCTTCTGCCAAACGGGAGCCCTTGTTAACATCTTGGATATTGCTCCTCGGTAGGGACCCCTTGGCCACATCCACACAGGAACTCAGCTCAGGTCCTGCAACCCTAAAGTCGCTCTGATGCCCCAGTTCCGTGTGGGGTGATCCACGCTACAGGTCACAGGAAATGCCAGCATTAGCCCTACATCCAAATAATTCCTGGAAGGGACCCAAAGCTAGCCCACCACTGTGCACTCAGTTTTCCAGGTGAAATGGGGAGGCAGTGGCCTCACTCGCAGCTCAGCTAGGGACAGGATGGGACTCACACCCACATCTCTGTCGGGAAATGCAGCAGTCCCACAGGGTTGGATTAGTGAAGGACCCGTAAAATACTACTGTGCTGGCTCCCAAAGGTAAAGCTTGACTAATGGGAGAGTAAGAGAAACACTGACCTCCAAGAGAGGTAGTATCAAGGAGGACTGGGGACTTCCAAATGCAGCCCCCAGGAACCTTTCACGGTCAGAAGAACATACTCTATCCTCAGATAACCAACCACCATGACCCATGGGAGATGCCTTGGTCTCAGGGGAACCAACGTCTCATCCAGTGAGGGGTCTTTTTTACCCAGAAATAAAGCTGTGAGATCAGGTTCCATAGCAGAAACTAAGAGAATATACACACTCGGTGCAAATCATCAATCTGTACATTTTGTAACAACAATGTTGACAAGTTAGTACAAATGACCCTTGGGAGCCTCAGACCCTCACATGGGACTGTACTAATCACAAGTCAGCACATTTCACTCAGGCTTGACCGAGGGTCGCCTCAGGGCACCCCCAGGGACAAGCACAGAGTTACAACAAGTAAGCTGGGGTGAACGGTATGCTTACACTGGAATATTCTTTTCTGTCTCAGGTACACTAGCTTTCTTCAGGGACTATCGGAAGTCTTTGCATACTCATCAGGAGCCATTTCTTCCACTGTTGCTGGATTTTTAATCAGTCAGGTGAGGTCGAATGCTCTGATGAAAATACTCATGAGAGACACCTAGAGAGGTCACTCAGAAGAAGTCAGACTGAAGATATTTTTGTTCACTCCCCAATGGAGCTCAGCTTAAAGCTCGAGAGTCCCAAGTCCCCTCAGGAACCCCCCACCCCAGGCTCAGCTCATGCAGGACAGTTACCACAGGTTTAGGATGTGGAGTGATGGTGAGCGCTCAGACTTAGAGTTTATACTTTAAGAGTTTTTAGAAGTTTTTCATGCTAATCATCAAAATTTCTAGCAATATTCATGGCACTTCTTACAAAGTATAGAGGGGTCAACCATTCTGGTTTGACTGTGACTGAGGGGTTTCTCTTCTAGTTGCTAATACTGTCAGGAAACAGCTTTTTTTTTTTAATTTTAAAAAGATTTTTATTTATTTATTTGACAGAGATCGCAAGTAGGCAGAGAGGGAAGTAGAAAGAGTGGGGGGAAGCAGGCCTCTCTGCTAAGCAGAGAGCTCGATGCGGGGCTCGATCCCAGGACCCTGAGATCATGACCCGAGCTGAAGGCAGAGGCTTTAACCCACTGAGCCACCCAGGCGCCCCAGGAAACAGCTTTTAATAGGGAAATTCTCAAACTGAATTTTGTTTCCCTTGTCATCCCTTCATTCATTCATTCGCTAATTCAACCTTAGCGTGTGCCACGCACTGTTTAAGTGGATCAAACAAACAGAAGTCCCTGTCTGGTAAAGCTTATATTGTGGGAAAGCAATTGATGGAAAAGTAATGAAATCAATAACATATGAAATATACTGAATGGTGGCAAGTGCGAAGAGAAGAATAAAGCAGGAGAGAACAGGGCACACAGGAGGGGGTGGGATTTCCATTTTAAATAGGGTGGTCTTGGAAGGTAACATTTAAGTAAGGACTGGACACAAACCAGGGAGTGAAACAAATGGCTATCGGGAGGAGTACTGTTCGGGCAGAGGGAAAGGCCAGGGCCCAGGAAATGACCTGCGTATTCTAGGAACAACCAGGAAGGCCACAGAGGCTGGAGTGGGGTTGGGGAGCCAGACCTGCACCAGGACCTTTTTGAATAGGAGGACCAAGAGCCAAGAGACTGTTAACACTCTGTAATTTCCTCCTTCCAGGATTCTGAGTTTGGCTGGAGAAATGTCTTCTTGATTGCAGTTTCTATTAACATGTCAGGCCTGGTCTTCTACCTCATCTTCGGCCAAGCAAAGGTCCAGGACTGGGCTACAGAACAGACGTTCACTCAGCTCTGAGCAAAACGGATGCGTCAGATCCCAACGCTTAGCCATTCGTTGTTTGCAGTCATGGACATTATCCCTTAGTACCTGCTTGACTGGTTAGCCATTTGATTTGCATTGACTGTTTCCAGTATCTTCTCAGAGAGCTTGGCTGTGTAATACTGAAGGTTCCGCCTGCAGATGTTACGGTGGTGGGTGGGGGTTAGGGAAGGCCAATTATCTAACTGTGAGCTCTGGAAAGCATAGGTGTGTCTGAATTTCTAAGTGTTCTCCACTCTGCCCATTTTTATGACTTAATAAGAAATTATCAATAAGAAATACATATTTAGTCTCTGCCCCTACTTTCTGGAACAGAGCTCCAGAATTTCAGATTAGTGAAATCTCAGATCTCTTGAGTGGTAGAGATGATAGGAGTAACTTTTGTCATAATATTTGGACTCGGTCCCTAGTTCCCAACACAAGAGCTTCTAAGACACTTGGAATTCCTGGAGTGATGAGAGCACCTTGGGTATTCTATGGAGATGACGGTGGCTGGGGGACACTGAAGCCACCCATAGCTTCAGGATGGGAGCTGGTCTGATTCAAAGGTGGGAACGTCCAGCTCCACGATCCCACCTCCAGGGAGGTGAGAGGGGCTGGAGATTGAGTTATTCATCAGTTGCCATTTACTCTAATCACACCTATGCAATAAAGCCTTGATAAAAACTTAAAATACGGGGTTCTAAGATCTTTTGGCTTGGTGAGCACAGGGAGGTGCTGGGACAGTGGTGACCGAGAGAGGGCAAGGAAGCTCTGTGGCTCTTCCATATTCCTTGCCCTGGGCATCTTTTCCTTTTGGCTGTTCCTAAGTTGTATCCTTTATAATAAAGCAGTAGTAATAGTAAACAAACTGTTTTCCTGCATTCTGTGAATAATTCTAGCAAATTATCAAATGTGAGGGGAGAGGGGTCATGGGAACCCCCAATTTTGTAGCTAAATCAAACAGAAGTGTGAGTACCTCGGGTACCGACTACTTTAATTGATGTTTGGATGGGGGCAGCCTTGTGGGATGAAGCCCTTCACCTGTGGGGTCTGCACTAATCCCAGGAAGTTAGTGTCAGAATCGACTCACACGGCACCCGGCTGGTGTCCCCCAGAGAAAGAGAGAACTGTCTGGTGTGGGAAAACCCACACGTTTGTTGTCAGAAGCGCTCAGGACAGAAATCCCTTTTGTTTAGTTGTCCTGGCAAAAGCATGAGGGAACAGAGGACAGTTTCTCACCACAGCAAAAAAGGAAGCCGGAACCATGGGAGTGAGGACAGGGGAGCACAAGAGGAACTGTGTCCAAACAACCAGATGATGAACCCTGAGAGCTACCTTCCAAAGACAGCCCCAAACAACGGAAGCCACAGTGTACACAATGCAAAGTCCTAGGCCAGGAAGTCAGAGCAAGTCAAGCTGACCTCACATTCACGGGGGACAGACATAGGATGCCTAGGAGAAAAATAACAAGGAGAGAAAAACGATGAAGCCTGAATCCTCTGTATGCAGAGAAAGGCTCATGTTTGCCACTAGTGGCAGTGGGGTAAGGAAACGTGGGCCCTTTCAGAGAACTTGTTTTCCGTGGATGACAGTGTAGGAATCAGAGTGGCCTCTGGAAGATGCAGGGCACTTGGACATGTCCTGGCCGTCACTTTTCCCAGCCACTTTCTTTCTTGCCATCGTGATCGCTGCTCTGCATCTTGTTTGTGGGTCTCTGTAGATCCCTCCCACCTCAGGGACCAGACATTGGCCAGGGTTCCTCCTCTGCCCTCCTGGTGTCACAGCTACTCCTCTCACCGCTGGAATCCCGCCTACCTTCAGTGAGCCTCACTCCACAGTCGCCTCATTCACTTACCAGTTCTTCCTAACGTGCGTGTGGAAGACTCACGCTGGCTTGACTCCACTCCACAGTCTGCAGGGTGCGTGCAATGTGTCCGCTTTCATTTATCCCCCACGTGGGGAGGATTAGGATCATGAAACACAGCAGCAGCATTGAGCAGCAGGAAATGAGTATTGATGAAGATATAACATGGGTTCCTAGCAGAGACCGAAGTCAGACCCAGCTTCAGGGAAGACAACGTCTCAGGAGAGTGGACGACACAAAGGCATGTGGATGATGACTGTAGGAAAGGAAATATAAGGGGTCCACGGGTGAGGGGTAAATGGATTATCTGCCATAGGGGATACACCTGACAAGACCCAGACACCGAACAGGCTTAGGGCGACTCCCAGGTTTTGGTTTGGTACTGTCCAGATGGAGATGCCTAGGAGACTGAGATCTACCCAGGTGAAGATGACAGGAAGGAAAGTAGACATGTGGGAGATCTGGGCTTCACGTGTAAATCTAGGAAGCTTCTAGATACAGGCAGTGATTGAAATGCTTAGCACAGCAGAGGCTGTCCCGGGCAAAAGGATGGCGTAGGGAGGGAACACCTGCCGAGAACCTTACAGAAGTCCCAACACTGAACAGCCAGCCTGGGGGATCATTAGCCTTTTTAAGAAAAAGGAAAAAAGAAGAGACTAGAGAGAAGGAAAACCAAGAGAATACGGTGCTCAGAGAGGGAAGAGAGATATGTGTTTCCAAAAGGAGTGGAGCAGGAAAGGAGCTTAAAGTGAGCATGGTTCAAACCTGGGGGAGAAACGAAATGGACTCTTGAAAAGAACACACATGAGCACGGTTCCTGAGAAGGCTGAGGGTTCGGGAGGAACCTGGGCCCGAAGCCCATTTGGATGAATGACTGGGGATGCGTGAGGGCTTCTCCTGTTCTCTCACAGCTGGCTCGAGACTGCGTCCTGCCTTCAGGGCACCTCCAACACCTGCCCTAGTTCCTCCCTCTCCCCCCTACCCCCCACCCCTGTTCATTTAGGACAGTTCCCTCCACCCCATCTGACTGCAGACTCTGGAATTGCGGGAACCATGACACATACTACTTTGTAATGTCTTAAACACAACAACAACCTTGTCTTGCACACAGTATCAATACATTTGTGTGTGTGTATGTGTGTGTGTGTATTGAGTGTGTAGGTGTTCAATCACCGTGTGCCTCAGTGCACGGCCTGTGGTGGTGTGGAAGACCAGTTAGGGAAGAAATGGGTGAGAAGGTAAAGGACCCAATTCTTCTTTAATTTCCTTTGTTTTTCAGAACATAGAATTACCTAAACCTACCAAATCCCTTCCTTATCCCATCTGGTGTTGAGACTGAGAGACTGGGTCTCTCCATTCCACGTCTCCAACAATCACAGAGCAAACCCCAGGCCCTCAGCAGCAAGGATCATGGGGTTCGCCCATCAGGGCAGAGGCTCGTACTTGTTTCTTTTCTTTTCTTTTTTTTTTAAGATTTTATTTATTTATTTGACAGACAGAGATCACAAGTAGGCAGAGAGGCAGGCAGAGAGAGAGAGGGGAGGAAGCAGGCTCCCTGCGGAGCAGAGAGCCCGGCTCGGGGATCGATCCCAGGACCCTGGGATCATGACCTGAGCCGAAGGCAGAGGCTTTAACCCACTGAGCCACCCAGGCGCCCCAAAGTACTTGTTTCTGAACGACCCCTGTTGGCGTGTAATTCCGCTCCTTTCCTTCGGTGGACTCTTCTGTTTTTTTCCTCATCTATCACTTTTCATCGCTTCTAGAAACAAGTTTGATTCCTCCCCAGGGCCTGATGAGTACAGTTTCCCCCAAATGGCTCACTTAAAGTACAGAAATCTTCTCAGACTTCCCATTGACCCACACATTGACAACACAGAGGACTGAAAGCTGAAAAGTGGGGAAAAGGTCTTTCAGAAAATCTAAGAATAAAATTGGTTTTCTTGCACTTGTTTATTGGTTGACTCAGCAATCATTTATAAAGCAAAGAATGTGGAGTGGAAAACGAAAAAATCCACATTTAAAATTCAGACCTGCTAAGTGGTACAAACAATATATGGTACAAAAGAGATGCACACGGGGTGTGGGGTGGGACATCCTAGGAAGGTGCACGCCATCTTCTTCCTGGAGCCGCTTACTGCCCCTCAGTCCCAGCTCCGGGGCTGGTCCCTCTTCCCTTCAGTGAGGAGGTCAGTCCCAGGCTCTCCCAGGGTTCTGCTTTACACGAAGTTTTGTAGAGAAACAAAAAAGTGCACACAAATGTCACTGGTGAGTCCCGGCGGATAAAGGAAAGCTTTCAGAACAGTTCCAAGCACCAGTCTGGCCAAGTGTATTTTTCTCCAGCTATCTTCCTTGTCCTGATGACAGCTTATCCCAGGCATGTGCTACTCTGTTCTCCTCCTGACATAAAAATAAGTATGACTGGTGAACAATTCCAAAATCGTGCTAAGTCCAGGCACACAGCATGAGACCATCCATCCCCTGCTCCCTGTCTCTGCGGTGTCCGCAAACATGGGGAGGCTTGGGCTTTGCAGCTGAAGCCGTCTGATACTGCTGCACTCTCTTATTAATATGAATACGTGTTATCTACAGCAACAATAAGGCACAGTCTGTGTACTTTGGCAAATGCCTATTTCATGAAACGAAGACTTCCATTTGTGCCCCCACACACTCTGGTCCTGCTCAAATGCACCCCCCCGTCCTTTCAAAGAACAAATTGCCAGAGCGTATGCCAGCTGGCAGACCAGACTGCAAACCAGCTTCACCTGGTTACAAAGTCCAGAAAGGGCAAGTGCTCTACACACATCCTTCCTCCGCCTGACAGATGAGTCCAGGGCTGCCAAGCAGGCTGGGATGAGGAGCGTTGGAGGCCACGGGAGGTCAGGACTGTTGGGACAGGACAGCCTGGCATAACGTGCTGAAGCCTGACCAGGGCTGTGGACCATGTCTGCATTGGCTGGCAGCCTGGCACAGGGTCTGGAGGTGACGCAGGTGAGGAAGGCCAACGTCCATGAGGCGACCCTCCCGTGGGCCAACACCCTTCCTGCTTTCTGTAATTCTTCACCGGTCTGACTCTCCTAAGCCCCTACTTCTCCCCCTCCTTATTCCCTTGTCCTCCCTTTAAAATGCCCCTCACCTCTGTACGAATAAAAATTTGAGTTTGGATCTCTCTAGACTCATTTGCTTTTTGTAACAGTATATGACTGATTAAAATCTGTCCTTACCACTTTAAATAGTGCCTAGCTTTGTTCATCTTGGATATTAGGGTAGAATGTCAGCACCTAAGAGAGATGAAGAGGGTTTCCATGGTCCAGGAGGGGTGCCCCAGGGTAATGGTGTCAGTGCATGGGAAAGAAAGCAGGGAAGAATATACAATGGGGAAAAGACCGTCACTTCAATAAATGGTGCTGGGAAAACTGGACAGCTACATGCAGAACAATGAAACCGGACCACTTTCCTATCCC